CGTGTTTACACATTTAACAAAAAAAAAACTTTGATATGTTATAGAAAATAGAGATGATGAAAAAATAGCTCTGCTTTGGCAGCAGAAATTGAATTCAGTTCATTGTATCATCAACAGACAAAATACCTTTGCTGCATTCCTGAAAAAAAAAAGGATTGCACTCCAGCATCTCGTTTATTTAACTGGCAGTGACAGTGATGCGTTCACTTGTCTTGCTCTACGGAAGCAAATAATTGCCATAATAATTTAAATGATAATCAGAAAAATGTTTTTCAGGGCAATATATTCAGTTGTATTTAGTATTCAACACTCAGTATTCAGCAGTGATTAAATGCCAAAATCTGGGATTCAGTTGCTAATCATTATGGCACTGATTTGCCTCCATGATGCTCCAGGTATAAGGAAATGTTCTGTTCTTTATTGATCTATAAAATGACTAATATCACTTTTAAAGAGTAATTTAACAGCAGGCTGTAAAACAGAGTTTCACTGTCTTCCATGGTTAGAGGTTTGAAGCGTTTGGCACCTGAAACCAAACCCAACAGTGATGTCACAGTGTACTGGAGTACACTTCTACATCACTGCAAGACATATAGTCTAAAGGTCTCTGTCCATGTGTAGTGTGATTATAGATCAGGTCTAGCTTCTATATTAATACTGTGAAAGTATCAAAGCCTCAGTCCACAGAGAAATGCACACAGCCTGTATTCAGAAACTGAGCCTTAAAACCAGCCGTCAGGACTTCTGGAACTTTGTGATGTCACAAGAAAGCAGTCACCAAGCCCCGCCCACCTGGACCCACCATCCAAACCTTGCAGGATTTGGTTTCTCTGAGTGTTTTACCTGAAATCTGCTATATTTTTATTGGATGACTCAGAACACAGTCAGCCAATCAGAAGAGAGGCTCAGAGCCTCCTCTCTTCTGATTGGCTCACCGACCTGTTGTTACTAGAGCTCCAGAGAGAAGCCTGAGAGAGGAGATGTAGAACTACACTGAGATGGTTTTTGGTTCTTAAAACCACAAATATATTTTCTAATGGATCAACACTTCAAAATAAAAGTGTAAAATATGGAAAGGTGGTGTTCTTTGACATGGACAGGGACGTAGTGATGGTATGTATGGCCCCTAAACCACGTGGTGACAATGGCAGGTAGGACAAATGCAACAAATCGGCAATGAGAATCACGACCACTATTTTCTTTCGCATTCATGTGCATGTTGTATCTTTCGTACACGTAGCCTGAATTCCTGAGGACGTGTGCAGTCAACACTCGGGATACACGAGGCAGCACTTGTAGTGAACAAATGTATCTCCGACTTGAGGAGGAATATCTTTGCGACCAGTAAGAACAGGAAGAAGAGCGAGACTGTGAGTCTTTCGGTTAATGACAGACAATAAACACTAGTAGTTAAAATTATGGGCATCTGAGTGTCTGTGGAGGTGGATCATCACCTCCACAGCGGCCCCCTGCATGTGTTTGACTGACAGACTGCCTGACTGTGACGGCCATCTGTCTGCAGACTCCCTGTTAGACAACAAGAGGCCCGGAGACTCCGTGAGCCCAGACGGAGCGCAGGGCACGGCTGGCACTGCCCATTCACAAATATCTTTTGGGAGGACAGATGGTGCTGAGTTTTCTCCTCATGTGTCTTTTCTTCCACCATCAACCATTCCTGCGCTGCCTCCTCAGCGAGCTGGCATCCCCCTTTGTGTCGCGACATTTCATCAAAGCTTCATTTAAAAAAAACACAGCTCAAATGAAAAGGGAGGAGGCGTGAAGGAGCCCGGAGGCTTTCTGCAGGTACCGAACCGTCCAGCACAGATCCAGGCTCGCTGGCCTGGCCACAAAAGGTTTCACATCTCTTCAGCTAAAGCTGGCTCCGACCAGCGTCTCCCCCCTAATCTTTGTTTCACAAACCCCCCCCCTCCTCAAAAAAAATTCAGCCAAGCAGATCAGTGTCCTCTCTGGCACGCTGCGACTGTACCGTACGGCAGGGAGGGCAAACCAGAGGATAAGAGCTGGAAAACCCTTCCACTGTTCAGACTTAGGGTGACAAATCACTGACTTCTTAAAGCTCCTAAACCCTGCCCATTATTACAAACACTCATTGTGTGGCCAAAATACAACCCCACTGAAATGTATCTTAATTTTTAGCTAGAGATCATCCAAAGATGCCAAATATGTCGGTTGAATTGACCTCAAATGATGCGCAAGACGCTTAGAATAATATTGAGTGAACTTTAGAAAAAACGTCTTCCTAGGTTTGGATATTTCCCTCAGTGCAGCATCACATCGTAGCTTTGGGGTAGTGTTAGTCAAACAGTGTAGAGGAAAGATAAAGTTCTACTTTACAGATTAGGAAAAAACAAGGAGAAGGAAAAACTAAGTTTGTGACCAAATCAAATCATCACCGACAGAACAGGTCGTTTTCTGCTTTTTCTGTCTTCAAGAATGAACTTTGACCCTCAACTTTTGAGCCAACATTGACCAGAAGTCTGTTAAGTGCTGGACAAACTCCATCTGCTAAAGGAGAACATGTGATATGACTGACAGCTCCAGAATAGCTACTAAATGGACCTTTTAGTGAGTTGTTTTCTCAGAGTGATTCAGGTAACTCTAGACATGTGGTAAATAAAATGCATCTTTTGAAATGTACCATCACAATTTTACGGTGTTGAGCAAGTTACTTAATAAAAAAATCACTTAATCAATCACTTAAAGCAAAAGTAATTAGCTACATCAAGACCACCTCCATTAGCATGCTAACCAGCTTGCCCCACCCCGGCGGGACTGTCTCATCATCTGAAGAAGTAGTGTAGCTCAGAGGATCTATTATAACCTGTTATATTGTAAACGTGATGATGGCTGAAGGTCTTAGCCAGATTGGCAAGTAAATAGCTGTTGATGCTAACGTTAGCTATGTAGCAATAGCAAAATGTACAGCTATCTTAAACAACTCCAAAGCAGTCACCACCCGACTGTCACATGTTGTGTATTCAAAATGTGTAAGAACATAAAACATTAACGTTAAAGTTTGGAGGGGTCGACTGACCATCAACAAGCCACATTAACGTTAGCCACGCTGTTACCATGAAGGTTACCGACTGATTTCTGATGTTAGCAAGCTAGCTAAGAGTGCTACATGTAAATAAACTAAATGACAACTATGGAGGCATTTCTACTCTTTAGGGAGAAGCTAAGAACCACCTCCACACACCCCACAAGACCACAGTGATATCAACCATCCATCAAACTCCAGGTCAGACAGCGAACAGGCCGCAAAACATCATCGTTACTGGGATTAGCTGCAGTTTAATTACTGAGTTTCAAATTGTAGTTACTTACACTGCTGAAGAAGTAATCACATTAAATATTGTGCTTTGTTTTTTTATTTACCTTTTATTTGACTGCACTTTGTTGNTGATGTTAGCAAGCTAGCTAAGAGTGCTACATGTAAATAACAAACTAAATAACAACTATGGAGGTATTTCTACTCTTTAGGGAGAAGCTAAGAACCACCTTCTTTTCCTGCCATTGTAGTGCAAGTTCAGCCATAGAGCTGGTTACTGAAACTAAAGACATGATTTTTCGGTACTGACTGAATCAAAAACTGGCAAGTACTGAAAGTTGAGATCAATACTTTGCTCAGATTCTGACTTTTATTCAGTTATTCTCTGATTTTAGTTTCATTTTATTTTGTCCTTGTACGACTGTATCCAACCAGAATGTAATATCTGAGAGCTCTGGTTTCTTTTGTTCTTTTAAAAATAAGGTTTAAGTGCAAACTTTTTAAGTTTATTAAAAGTATCATTTCAGCACCAAAGCTCAGGTATCATATCAGCACATGTATCAAAAATATTCCTAACATGTGACTGAAGAAACACTAAAGGGCTGCAATAAACAATTATTTCATTCAATCTATCAATTAATCATCTAATTATTGTCTTAATTGTTTGGCCTAGAAAAATCACTATTTCAGAAGGATTTCCTTGTCTGACCAACAAGAGGTCGGAACAATTACATTTCCTGCATTTGATTAACTAGTTGACTAATAGTTTCACATTAAGAGTAAAATATGAAAAGTTCTGACAAACATCATCAATGTAAAAACAGTAAAGAAGCCAAAGACAAGGAGGCTGCTGCTGCTGTACATCAGAAAAATAAGGTTTACAAGCTCCTGATGAAAACACAGAAGAACATGAGTGTTTCCTTAATAACTGGAAGGTAAACCACAACCTGAAAACTCCCAGCTGGGCCTCAGTTATTTTCTTTAAACCTGCACCCCTTCATTTTTGTGAGCAGGCAGGTTTGAACAGTCCAGACACAGACACAGACTCAAACCTGAAACAGGCTGATTTTTCCTCCCACTGGAAATAAAATCAACAACACTGAAACTGACAGATCCAACTAACTTCCCCTCCATGTGTTTCTCTCTCTCTTCTGTATCTGTAAATTTCTATTAAACTGCTTCAGGATGGGAAATAAAACAGATGTCTATTTACTGTACAGGCTCTGAGATGCATTATAGGATTACTGCTGTTGTTGTGCCCGATATGGAGCTTCTGACACTCTTAATAAGCCAGTCAGACTACCGTGTCCAACCTTCTCTTTTCATGCTTGACAGCTCCAGTTTGGAGCTGATATGTGACGCCCTGCGACCCTCAACGTTTTAATCTGCGATCCCACAGACCCGCAGAGTGATCCTGGACAGAAACCACCACAGAGAGAGAGAGAGATACACCCTCATCTCAGCCGTAACCACTACATCTGCGTTTTGGATCCATTTCCTCAAATGTTTCCAAAGACGCACGACGCGTTACGCACCGAATATCTAATTCTACACAATAAACAAACTACTTGAGCTCACCTGGAGCTGCTGCGCAATCACCGCAAAGTTAGAAAAGCACGCAGTCTTAATAAAAATCTGAACATATGTGGGAAGATTTAAAGGTTTCTGCGTCATGTGGGGACACAACGTGAGCGACAGCACGCCTTACCTTGTTGGCAGAGGAGGATGCAGAGTGCAGCCAGTCGCAGCCAGCAGCCTGTAGTCTCCATGTTGGGCAAAAGCTCACAGATGCGGTAGATAAAGAAATCAAACTGATTGTTTTTTTTGGGGGGGGGTGGGGGGAGCAGGTCCCGGTCGACCCTCTGCCCTCACAGCTCCATGCTGCTCCGCTCCGCTCCTGCCGGTCGCTCGCTCGGTTGTGGTCTTGCAGTATAAAAGGCTACAGATCCAGAGTCCCGGTGTGCCGCTCCTCTCCGTCCGCTCTCCTCCACACCGACTGACAGACTGAAGAGGAGCCGCCAGACGGGAGCGGTGCACCGCCCACAGCCCGCAGCCACACCGGCCTCACTTCCTCCACACAACGACCACAACTAATAGGACTACACACCCTCACAATCAACAACTTTTCATAGCTCTGTTTGTTTGTTTGTTTATTTATTATTTATTTCATTTATAGGAGGGTGAACTGCAAGAAGAGACTCCGAGTTTGAATGTAAAGTTATGAGGGAAAAGGGAAGAAAAAATGAGGAACTTCAAGTGGGAAATAGAGAGAAAATGGAAAGGAAGCAGGGAAGAATAAAAAGATGAAAGCAGGAAGGAAGTGAAACAAAAAGGAAATAAAAGAAGGAAAGGTAAAAGTAAAAAGAGGAGACGTGAAAAATAATATGATGGAAACTGGAGCCCACACAATCCTGTGTTTGAATATTACTTGATTAAATCCAAATTTATTAATAAATTAATGAAAAACACACCATGTTGCATTATATAAACTGAATTATTAACGGTATTCAAAGTAGATTTCGACACACAGCTTCTCGCCTCAAGATTAAAAACGGGGAGTCGACCTTAAAGCCATTTCCATTGGTTTATATCAGTTTATATTAATAAATTAATCTAATTACCACAGACTAATTAACCCTCTGGGGCCTGGGGCAGTGGCTTGCTGTGTGTGGTTGGTTAATCCAGCCATGGAAATGTGAGTGTTTGGAGAATGTAAATTTGATCTTAAGACATATTTATCTACTTGAGCTTGTAATTAGCGCAGGTTTACACGCTGCCCGTCTTTATTTATACCTTACCCTCCACCCTGTTACTGGCTTTAATCTGATATTGTACCATACAGATACATTTGAACTGATTTATTTGAGCAGGTTTTTCAGTAGTCAATGTTAAATGATTATTATTAGTCCAGAATAAATTAGGTTTTTGTGATTGTATCCACTTGATTCCTGGCCACATTATGGACGAGACCTCCAGTTCCTCCTTTTACTGAAGAGACTACTACAGGCGTCCTCCTTTAGATGTTTGGGGAAAGAACAACAACGTGTGTTTAAAAGCAGAAACAGTATCAGACAAGTCAGTTTTGGTTTTTATCTTCTTTTGGTCGATGATGGAAACTGAAGCATCACTGACGGGAACAATCCCCCTTTCATGTCCAGTTTATGTTCGACAGTTAGTTTAGGTGCGGACCACACAACACAACACAGGCCTGAACTCTGTAGCATTTTAGCTAACGCTAAGCTAACTCAGTTTATAACTGCTAATCAAGGCGACTTGTTCCAACCCTGTCTCTTAGAAAATGTGTTCATATACAACTTCATTGTTTCCCTATTTACGTTGTGATATTTTACATTTATTTGCCACTTTCCAAACACATAAAACATAGTTCCAGTCTGCCTTCAAAATGTAGTTGTACATTTACATGATTTCTAGGAAACAGGACTGGTAATTTAGGTTGCCAGAAGGCGGTAACCTGTGATCCCTACACCAATTCACATCTGTGGATGGCGGTAAATGGACTGCACTCATATAGCACTTAGTCTTATCGACCACTCAGAGCACTTTAAACTAGAAGCCACGTTCACCCATTAATTCACACATTCACACAGCGCTTTCTTCTGTGCCTAGTATCAGTATCTTGCCCAAGGACGCTTTGACCGTCGGGCTCGACCTCCTGAGCCGGGCCGCCGAACGAAACATGTGACGCCATGAGTGCAGTTAAAATATACCGTCCAGTCCAGAGCTGTCGACATCAGCGGCAGCCATCTTGGTTGTTTACAAAAAATGCCGGCGTCTCTCTGTCAGTCATCGTATCAAACCCGCCCCCCATTTTAGATGAATGGTTGTGATTGGCCCGACCTGTTTTGGGACGGGTAGAAATCTGTCTGAGTGAGAGGGCGGGGCCAGACGTATGCATGACAGCGAATAAACATGAGCTCGCTGATTGGTCTGGTTGATCAATTGATCACATCATGCAGTTTGTGTTCCCACGTCATTTAACAAAAGAAGAAGACGCCTGTAACAAACTAAACTCTCACACTCACCAGTTAAATCTGAAGTTATACCTACAACTGCACATATGAATTTCATCCTTGCAGCATCAGCAGAGGAGTCGGTGTTGTACCATCATCAGATGTCGGAGCGGAGCAGCAGCTGGTGACTGTCAGCCTGCAGACGGCAGGGAGTCATTAACACAACCTAAAGAGTAATTGAGTGAAACGACAAAGAGGAGGTTTTGTTTTGTTTTGTTTTGAAGTGTGTGTGGTGGAGTTCGCGGAGGCCGCCGACCTCCTGACCCCACGGGAGACGCTTCCATCTCGCACTGAAACGGAGACCAAAGCATCAGCGCTGACCCAGAAATCACAATTCACTCTGGGAATGTGGAGCAAGTGCCTGTGTGTGTGAGTGTGTAGAGTCCATGTTAATGTGGACAGGAGTGAGAAAGTGTTGGTTAGTATCAAAGAATATCTGCTGAGTCGCTCTGTGATTCAGAAATGTACAAAAGGGAGGAGGAGTTCAGTGTTTAGAGAAATCGAGTCAGTTGAGAAGATGGAAATCGATTTAATCTCAGTACATCCAGCAGAGACAAAAGGTCATAGTTCGCCTAGAGTACAAAGACATTATTGCCTGTACAAAAGTAAAATATAATAAAACTTATAATATACCAGGGAAAAATACTCCATTACTGGTCAAAAGCTGCGTCCCAGTTCAGGAGCCGCATCCTTCTGAGGCTGCATTTGAAGTCCGATTGCGTCACAGCGGTGCGACTAGCTCCTCCCATTTCGCAGGCTCCTTGACATGCGGATCCAACAGGTGAATCCTTGGTGGTCCAACCTTTTCCCAAGATTCCTTGCGTGCCAGTAATGAAAGCAGACAACACAGAGGATTACACCTTTAAACATAAGTGGGTTACAGTGGGTTCAATAGCTACAACTGTTAAATAAACCAAAAGCCTCACAAACTCAAGTTTTTGTAAAATAAGTTACATGTTGTCAAGGTTGCTAGGCGACAGGAGCCGCGGTTCGCAACGCAACGGTAAGGGAAGGCTCCTCCGTAGGCCAGACCGGCTCATTTCGGTGTGGCCTTCACGGACAGCGAAGCACCGCCTCCTCCTGAATTGGGTCACAGTTAAAGTCGCTCGCTCAGAATCCGACTTCAGTAAAAGTAAAAGTAGAGTTATTATCAGCAAAACGTATTAAATAATCAAAACTGATGCATCAGTGTTTCAGCAGCATTTTACTGTCGTAGCTGCTGCAGGTGGAGATGATTTTAACTACGTCACATACAGTTATAGTTTAATCTAGCGGCTCCCATCACAATATTAAGCTGAAGGGTTGTGACATGATTAACGGGAGAAGAAAGAAGAAACTGTTCTCATATCTTTGCTTTTTGTATGAAATATTATAGAATTTCATCTTAGTGCTTTGAACAGTTATTTCAATGAAAATTAAAGCAGTGAAACGCAGACCTGCTTATTTAAATAAAGGATGTGAAGACTTCTTCCACACAGCTGAACAGTTAGGAGCTGAAATGCTGATCCATTTAAATTACTGGAACAGCAGGGCTCCAGTTGCACGGTAGTTTTAATGAGGTTTGGAGAACGCGTTTTTATTCCAAGACAAGTTCACAGATGGTTAAAATCCCAGCATCCTGCATATTTCTTTTTAATTTTGATTTTTTTGTCTGTGAAATGGGAGCAGATTGTGCCGAGAATTCACCAGGAAAAACCAGGATCTCAGTTCTTGGCATTGCACCCCAGTGTGGCGTCCAACAGCCAATTCTTGCCCTGTGGTCCCCTAATAGGTTAATCCGGCCATGACCACCAGGGAGAGTTTTCAAAAAACTCTCGACTACATTACAGAATGACGACGACGACGACGCCTCGATTAAAAGCTGACGTTGCTGATTTGTCTTCAAGTCTCCGCACGTAGATTTTTTTTGTAATTAAGGTGAAACTAATGGCCGCCTGGAAGGCAAGAGATGAGCCTGGAAACTGACGGCATGAGCGTGTTATGGCAGGAAAACTTCACCAAACTTCACCTGCTGTTTATGATTTTTGTCTTCAGTTTGATTCCCGGCTCATCGGGGACTCGTTCATCCTCTCGGTGATTTACAGATGATGCAACATCCCCGTGTAATTTCCTCACAGGCCGAGACCCTCACAAACTTTGAAGTGAAAGTTTCCCTCGGTTCGGTTTCAACCACTGGCTCAGATTTTTTAACCTCACAATAAACGACCACGCCGCCCCCTCCTTTATCTGAGCGAATATATTTGCATAATTTACTCTGGATTATCTTTAATTTATGCAGAAACTGCTTTCCACTTGTTAGGTTGAATGTTTCCAAGGGGGCTAATAAAATTAGTTGTACTCCCACAGAGAACCCATTCAGGGATTTTTTTTTTTTTTCGGGAGCTTTCGAACACTTTTCCATGACTTTCCTACGAACCGCACTCGGGCTGGGAGTGATTTTTCCCTCCAACATGAGCCTGTGACCTGAAATGATCCGCAGAAGGGAAACATAACAGGCCTGATAGTGAGAAACATTTTTTCTCCTTCTCCTCCTTTCACCTGTTTACTACGTGAGTCATTGAAACACAGCCATTCCTCACAGCGCCCAGCCCACATGATCAAACAGAAGAAGAAGAGCAGAAGATATTCCCAGGGCAAAACAAGCTGAGGCAGAAAACCGTTGCGGTGGTTCAGAGGTTGCAACAGTTCTGAACAGATTATTGATCCTGCAGGAAGGGCAGAGGGAAACATCCACTCATCGATCAAACAGTTGGCACAGGAAGTGAATGTGGTGACGGAGCGTTTTTCGATGGAAGCGTTGCAGGTTTATATCGTGTCAGGATCAGACCTCTACCCTCCAACAACG